ATTTTCCTTTTAATGAGATTCAAACACACACTAAAATTTTCATTCTCATTTTTCTACTCATTTTCAACCGCATATTTTTTAATAAAATAATATTTTCCATCACATCAATAACTTTTCATTCTTTTTCAACCACAAATTTTTCATCAATCTACTATTTCAAAATACATTATTTCAAAATAATGTGACTTTAAAAATTGTTAATTTCTTTGCTAGTCGCTAAACTTTGCATTCAATGTCACCTTGACTATCAAATTTTAATTTATTTCAGACTTTACAAAAGAAGTCATTCAGTTAACTCATTGTTTGACATTCATTTTAAGATGAAATTCCTTCGTGTTATGTGTCAAGTCATGAAATCGATAGAACTTTCAGTTAAATCCTATGAGTTATCATATGAACTTGAAGAATATTCAGTTAGAAAATGGACGACGAACCGATTTGGCTCTTCGAATGAAACATTTCAAATGATTTATTAATGAATCTGAAATATATTAAAACTCCCAACTTCAAAAGTGACAATAAGTGCAATGTCCAGGAATTTCGATTTTAATATTTTGAATAAAATTGTTGTATTCAACATATGATGGTCATGATATTTTATAAAATCAAAATTTTAGATTAAAATATGGATTATAATTCCTACCAAACAAGAGCATGTTGATCAAACTATATTTTTTACTACACATTCATTCAACTCGTAATTTTCATTTACTTTTAACGTCACGTTGTATGAGATTCACCCACTTATAATCTTAAAACAACCATGCTATGTGTACAGTATTCCTTACACATTTATTTACAATCTTTCTTTCGCATGACAACTTCTACACTTTTGATTTTCAACTCATTTATCACGTCAACGCACGGATTTCCTTCAAATATGAGGAAGGTCACTTAACTGAAAGTCATTTAGCTAAATTCATCTAAAACGCTTTGCCTGTCAGTCAAAAACTGAAAAACTACCATCAATATTCCCATGGCGGAGATATAGAGAGAGAGGGTCTCCTTTCAGCTGTCAAAAAAATAGAGGTGCTGCTTCCAAGTCCTCTTTAAAGAGTTTTAAAAAATCGGCCTTTCCAAATACCAAAGCCTCTCACTTTTTTCAACCTCCGCTCATCTCATCGTCTCCCTTTCGCCGAGAATCATAAGCATTAACAGTAATAATGGTTTAAAAGCCTTGAGAAAGTATTGTGTGTTTCACACCCTCCTTCAGCTGCGATTAACTGTCTTGATTCAAGACTTTTGAGTGAATTTACAAGTCTTTCTCACTGTACTTATACGCCATTGAAGCTCAATTTTCTGAGTTGATAAAGAGGAAAGGCAAAATGGGTGGAGGAGGAGAAGAGGGGTGGAGTAGTTGGCCACCAACACCTGGTGGAGGGCCGCCGCTGTACATACAGAAAGATGACCACTGGACTCACTTTGATAACTCTGTAAATGCAGTTTCTTTTGGGTTTGTTGCCACTGCCATTCTTATTTGTATGTTTCTTGTTATGGCAATCTTTGAAAAGTTCCTTAGGGCTACCTCGCCGGCCGGCAACCGCGATAGTCGCCCCGACATTGAGTCTCAGAACCATATGAACGGCTTCAATACAAAACTTCGCCATCCATCACCTAAAGTGAGTGCTTTTGGTACATTTACATACGTTAATGCTTAGCTTTTGCGTGAGTTTCTTGAGTTTTTATTCTTCTCCAAATTGTGCAAATTTTGATATGTCTATTTGGGATTTCGGATAAAATTTTGGGATTTCGCAGGTTGTGATGATTGCTGTTCTGACTTTTTTATTTTTTATTTCTTTTTCACTTTTCCTGCACTATCTGTTTCATTTTAGAATTGAAAATCTTCGGGGAAAAAAAATAATTGCATCTCAAGTGCACACAATTAAAGCAGAGTTGAAACATACTGCGCAGATAGTCCATGTTTTTCTTAATCCTCCAGGTTTTTCTGTAAGTTTGTTTGAGTAACTAACGAATAATCCTAAATATACTGCCACGAAATTGCCGGAGCATCGACACTGAAACACCTAAAGCTTTGAAGCTACAGAAGTTTAGTTATCCTCAAATAATAGTATTGGCCAAAAGAGGAGAAAAAAACAGACAGCTTAGCTTATTTCGCATCATGTGAATGTTCCTCAGATTTTAGGACATAGAGATTATAAAATTGTGTTCGATGTTTTTAATAATGGCCCTTCCATGGAGTTGTTGGGTGGTAGGTTAGTCTAGTTCCTAGTTAAGGGACCTGGAATTGTGTGCTTAGACATTGTCGTTCATATCGGGGCATAGTCCCTCCCACTGCGGTATATTATCTCTTTCAAGTACATCACCGCCAATATTTATGATGCCCCATGTGGCGAAACCCGGGATAGGAGACAGTTTACCAACATCGACATTACACTGTCCGATCGTTAATTTATTGTCTGATTTCCGTCTTTAATAATATAGAATTAAGATTGCCCCGTTTGATCAATAATGCTTGTTGACTTTTATTTCTGAAATCTACATCCCATCATAAATTTTGAAATATTTCTTAGAGCTTGTTTAACTTTCCATATGTAACACATTGTCTGAGGCTTATTGGGCTTATTACTTGTTACATTTTACATTTTTTTGTGTTCTGAGGACTGTTGTATTGTTCTGTGTTAGATTACAGTATATACTTCAGCTTCGGCTTGATGTCGTTCGTTAATTTATTGCGTTACGCACTTTCTTCCCAAGTTTTTTGATGCTAGACTTTCCAACTAAATGGTTTCAGATATTAGTCAATGCCAGAGAAGTTTCAGTGGTGATGCCCGGAGATATTATTCCGACTTTTATTGCACAGCCAGCTCCTGTGTCTTGTCCACCTGAGCGTGTGCCTAGGCCATCCCATCAACTGCGCCCGAACTAGAGCTTCATCTGGAAGCAATGAACATGAGTTAATGCCAGGTGAATGGAACAAATACTGAGCAAAAGTCACCACGAACAATCCGAAAAATTTAGAACCTGAGATAGGCATTTTTTCTTGCATATGCTGTCCGAATTTGTGCACAATCACTTTAGTAAATGTAAAGAATCATATAAAATATACTCTCCCAGCTTGCATGTGTTTGCAATTAATTGCTTGATGGACTCCATCCAGATAGAAACATTGGGTGGGGCCCTTGCATATTGGGCCTTCTGTTTACAAGCCCAGCCATGTTAGAGCCCGCTTTCAAAATTCATTTGTTCGTAATTTCGCATTATATGGACTTGGAATTCTATGGGGAAACTCAAAGAAGGCGTACCTAATAGCTAATGTTAGATGTCTAGCCTCTCCCGGGTCTAGTGACGTTTGCCGTTTGCAATTTGCTCATCTCACAAATGCACAAAAGTTTGAATTTTGAGGCTTTGTACCTTTCCACTCAATTCTAAGATTTGGATTGTGATCAAAGACAATAGGACAAATGTACAATCCAAGAAGAATCGAATCACAACAACGCTAAATGAACAAGGCTACGTCGGTCCTATTCGTTTCTTCCCCCTCTCCCTCCTATCATAGGGGGCTAGCTGTCACGAACAGGGCCAAAGTGACTCCGTTCTTGTAGGAACACTCATCGAATCCATGTATGCAACAATACTATCTAAATTGACCTTATTTCAGCTTCTTGACTAGTAGAAAATTCACATAAAAAATTCAAAATAGAAAGTGGAAATTTTGTTGTTAGTCCTCAATCTATGGCCTCAATAGAGAATTGATACTGAATCTTTAAATATGGCAAGTTGATATTTAACTTTTATTGTAGTGGCACAATCAGTCTTACACTCTGAAAAAAATTCAATCTTTTTGTTTAGTTAACGCATGATAATAAAATTTAGCTCCTGTTTGGAGCTCATTTTTCGTTTCATTTGTAGACATTTTGTTACTATTGTACAGTAAAAAACTCTTTCTTTATTCAAGATTTCTGATACAGACTTGACAAAATGGTGTTGAGAGTTTTGTTTGTTTTTCAATTATACCCCTTCAATGAAAGAAATCACGGTGCAAGTTTTGAAAATTGGGTAGTTCGAGTGATGGTAAAATTGGTAAAGTTTAAAAAAGAGGGATAACTCGGTTACTCGTGACAAACTTTTGTCAAGTTGGTGTCATAAATCTTGAATAAAGAAAGAATTGTTGATAGTGCAACGGTAAAAAAAAAAGTCTAAAAATGAGATGAAATGCTTGAATTACAAGTTTGTTTGCATTTAACAAAAATACCCTTAAAATTAGGAATATTTTGAAAAATCATCCGTGTAAAATGAAAAGGTGACGCAATGTCACTTTTTTTTTTAATAAAAATTGTCACTTTTTTACCTTTTTAAAAAAAGTGACACGAACTAAAAAAGAGTGACAAAACAAAAAAAAAAGTGACAAATACCAAAATAGCACCATCCATTTGGATAGCACCAGTATTCAGGCCAATCCACATGCTAATTATGCTAGGAAAATATGACATATTATTTCTTTTTTTATCTTCTTAAAAAGTGAGACAAAACTTAAAAGGTGACAAAAAACTAAAAAAAATAACAAAATTCAAAAAAGTTGTACAAATTAAAAAAAGTTATACATATTAAAAAAGTGACAGACAATAAAAAAAGTGATACATTCAAAAAGTAACAAATTCAAAAAAGTGACAAAATTTTTTTTAAAAAAAGTGACGATCTTTTTTCTTCTATAACAATTGGAGTCAAATTTTTCCTTACATGAACATTGGGCCGGCTCTCAATATCCTCATCTTCTTCATCAATTCCATCATCAGGAATCAATCCTTCGTCAATCACCTGACCACCTCGAATGCTAGCACAAATCATCTTGAAAACTTTCAGTTTTAAGTTCAATTTCCTGTCACAATCAATCTAAGAATAACATAATAAATAGCTTCCTTTTTTTTTTACTTTAATCAATACAAGAAATGCATAAAAGTTGATGGCTACCACTTTCTGAATACAGACCAAGTTTCATAACATCCATAACACAAAATGAATCGATCCCCTTAAGTTCAGTCTTACACTCGAACCAAATAATTAATCCGTGGATGCAATGTTTTCTTCCTGTCTATTATGTAGTGAGCTATAAAAAACACATCTTCAATGGCATCCTCAATCCCGAGATTCAAAGAACTCAAACCTTCTCGGTCTCCATCCTTTTCATCATTCTTCACAAAATGTTTCGACTTTTTCCTACACAATCTCAACTGATCTTCCAAAAGACACTTCTCGGGTGAATGACTTAGCAAGAGCCACTTCAATGATCGAATCACTTCTTGATCGCGGAGCTGCTTCTTTTCAGCCAAATTACGGTACCAATTAGATTCCATTTCGATCATGCTCATCTCGTTTTGAAGTCGCGAAATCATAGCCATTGCTTCATCTGCTGTAGTGGCAGAAGCTGCCCTTTCTTTCTCAAGTTCTGCATAAGCTGCATTTGCTCTCTTCCTCTTAATTTTTACCAGTTTCCTCAATTTTGTAATATCAAATACTTCAACTTTATTAGTAAACTCATCATCATCATCATCACATTCTTCATTATAATCTGTAATTGTTTTTTACATTATCAACAGTCCTCGACCCACATTTGCAATTTGAATTGAAATTCTCATCAAAATCATTTTTTGAAGAAGACCCATCTAATTTTCCTCTAAAATCACCAAGAAAATCGAACCAAATTGCTAAAGAACCAAGAAGGTTTGAATTCTTTGAATCTCGTGACCGCATCAAACTCCCCTCCGAACTACGTAGTGATAATGTCCTCCGCGAAAGCCTCCGACACCGTCATCATCACCATGCCCACAAACGGCTAATGCTGTTTTATCACCGCTGGGTGGGGAGGATGGCGTCTCTTTGGGAGTTTCTAGAATCAGGAATTTGATCTGGATTTTGGAAGTTTAGAACATATTAATTACGTGATTAAATGTATTAATTAATTAATAGGGTATTATTCAAATTTCTTAATTTTTAGGGATAGTGGGCCTAATTTTCCCTTTTGATTTTCATTGAAATAGAATTAACGAATGGGCCTTACTTGTGTTGCACATTTTGAAGCTTCATTTATTAGAGGCCCATCTTAGCTCTCTTTATTTGTTTTGGGGCAAATTCGGGTTACCATTTGATGTCATTGTTCATTAGGGTGAGCAAATAATCATGCCAATTGCAATGATTTTTTCAAAATAATAATAATAAAATAATTCTATAACGTAAGTTGCTGTGTTGATTCCATGCTCACTCTTGTTATTCCCACCAACGCTCCTGTCGTATGAAATAGTATAGGAAGATTAAGTCTAGTACGGACATATAATTTATAATTTATAAATAATGTATTGGTTGCAAGAGAAGTGAATTCGTTTGTCCAACGAATTTCTTGAGTGTTCGAGTTTATTTATGGCGGTTATTAACGGCATCTTGAAAATGTTCAGTTGAAATATAACTTTGATCAAATGAGGGCACTTTCAAATATTATTGAGCAAATCTAGCCTCTTCCAATTAGGGATCCTAATTTATAAACATTTAAGTTTCTTCTATTCACATGTCTCTCAAACATTTAAGTTTCTTCCAATAGTTAATCATTTTAAAACTCGTCTCTTCAGTTTATCCAAACATGTCTCGGATGAGAGATGACAGGTTAATACTTAATACGTAATTTTGCACTCTTGGTTTTCCCCCTTTTTCTTCCAATTCACACGTTGACCTCTNATTTCTTAATTTTTAGGGATAGTGGGCCTAATTTTCCCTTTTGATTTTCATTGAAATAGAATTAACGAATGGGCCTTACTTGTGTTGCACATTTTGAAGCTTCATTTATTAGAGGCCCATCTTAGCTCTCTTTATTTGTTTTGGGGCAAATTCGGGTTACCATTTGATGTCATTGTTCATTAGGGTGAGCAAATAATCATGCCAATTGCAATGATTTTTTCAAAATAATAATAATAAAATAATTCTATAACGTAAGTTGCTGTGTTGATTCCATGCTCACTCTTGTTATTCCCACCAACGCTCCTGTCGTATGAAATAGTATAGGAAGATTAAGTCTAGTACGGACATATAATTTATAATTTATAAATAATGTATTGGTTGCAAGAGAAGTGAATTCGTTTGTCCAACGAATTTCTTGAGTGTTCGAGTTTATTTATGGCGGTTATTAACGGCATCTTGAAAATGTTCAGTTGAAATATAACTTTGATCAAATGAGGGCACTTTCAAATATTATTGAGCAAATCTAGCCTCTTCCAATTAGGGATCCTAATTTATAAACATTTAAGTTTCTTCTATTCACATGATCTACGGTGATACTCAAGATCTATTACTCATTTTTATTTACTTATTATTTAAATGATTTATAAACAACTCTCAAACCTACTTTATTTCTATTAAATAAATTTTTTCAAACACGCAACAAGAAGATAACAACTACGCAAAATACACCTATGATTACGAGGAAGAGCATGTGGCTGGCTCACATTGTCTCTTCCTCTGCCGGCCATCACCTCTCTCCCTCAACAACGGCAGTAACGGGTTTCGCTAAACCTTAAAATTAGTGAAACTATTTTTAATTTTTTCTTTCATAAGTGACTCATATATTCTCAATTTTGATATACAAATTATTTATTTGAAAATGGATTAATAACAAAATCCCCCTATAAATATTTCCATTTGTGATATACCTCTTTACATATTGAAAATCGTAGAAAACCTCTATGTTTGAAACGTTTTGTGCAAAAACCCCATACCGTCAATGACTCAATATCTATCAGATATACAGTTAAAAATCAGTAAAAAAATGTCAAAATTAGAAATAAATAATTGTAATTTCAATATCCAAATTGAAAGGTGCACCAAATCTTACCTTCACAAAGCAAAAAAAAAAAAAAGAAAAAAAAAAGAAAAAAAAAAGAGGCTTTTATTCAATTCTTTGAAGCAATTGAAAGCTTAAACCAGAAATACGGAACATGGGGTCTTCTTTCAAAAACTCAGTACCAAATCAAATCGACAAAATGAAATCGACTTTCCCAGAACAATACTCTTGACTCATCTGCTTGAATCAGTGAATGTGAATATATGCTTAGGCTATTTATATATTTTTGAGATTTACAATGAATAATAAGTTCTCTGTCACTATATGATAACGTTGTTGGGTAGGGTGGGATGAAGTAGAAAATAAAGTTCTAAAATTTTGGTGTTGTAGTTGGCACATATAAACAAATTGGATTTAATTTATAAAAAAATAAAAAAATTGAGTATTGAAATTGTAATTATTTCTTTTTCAATTTTATTTTTTTTTTAACTGTAAATTTGACGAATATTGACGACAAAGAAGTTTTTTGTACAAAATGTTTCAACACGGGGAGTTTTCTGCGATTTTTAGACTTTGTCGGTATAGCTCAAAACTCAATTAAAATTGAAAATATAGTCGTTATTGGGTCCCACCCGTCTAATAAAAGTCAACCATAACGACTAATTTTTCAATTTTAATATGATTTTAATCTCTATCGAACACGCTCTTAATATATAGGAAAATATCACGAAGGAAAAGGTTTTTAGGAGGATTTATGCCGTTAAATCATTTTAAAACTCGTCTCTTCAGTTTATCCAAACATGTCTCGGATGAGAGATGACAGGTTAATACTTAATACGTAATTTTGCACTCTTGGTTTTCCCCCTTTTTCTTCCAATTCACACGTTGACCTCTCCAAGCGTTCGAATACGAAACTATATCAATTTTCTTCTCCTAATAAGCTTTTGAATCTCATTTTCTTTTACTTTTGTATATTGAATCTTAATAATATCACTAGATCTCAAAGTTCTTTGATGCGAAGTGAGATTCAGTTGAACTGAAAAGCACCAAAAAATAAAAAAATGGCAGGAAGTTACGATCGCAACCCTTTTGATGAAGAAGAAGAAGTTAATCCATTTTCTGTAAGTTCTAAAGATGGTCTATAGAAATACTTTATGCTTGTATCCATAGGCGTATAATTTAAGGTTCTGTGGAATTTATACTTTTTAATTGCACAAAATTGGAGCCTTTATTGAAGTAATTAAACTTGATAAAATTCTTTTGAGGTATCTTGGTTTTTGTATTTTAGCATATGATAGGATGAATGAGGGTTCAGGTAAGTTTTTGGTGTTTGGTTGTATAAATTTAATTGAATTTGTGGCTTGATCTAATTAAGCATAGGGGGAATTTCGCCTTATTAAATATTGCTAGTAATTTCTCTTTACTTTTCAAATTTGGTAGCCCCTTTTGTTTTTATTTTATTGGTACTCTAGGTATATCTTTGCCTTATAGTAATAGGTAGAATTTTGAGATGTGCTTAGCTTGTCTGAGTTAATACAAGTTCTACGTGGGTAGAGCCCGATGTTACTACATTAGCTGAGTACTTGTTTTGTATGGGTGCACATGTGTGTGTAGAAAATCGAAATGCCTTGAATGTGCTTCAACAAAAATTCCGATTGAGTCAGCATAGAATAGTTCACGTCTAAAAACACTTTATGGTTCATTTTCTAGTGTTTGGCCAATGCGATTAAAATATGTAAGATCCCTTTGTAAACCGAGAATAATGAAAAGTTTTCCTGACCTCGAAGTGGCAGGTAATGGAAGTTTGTAACATTATAGTGGCTAGTGGTGCCAAGGGGTGTCAGTGGTTATGGAAACACTGGTAGTTATGACTGATGACATGTTATCTACGAACACTTTGATGATGTTCATTGTGGGTGGAGGAATAACGTGGAGATGGACATGATGACATTGTTTGGTAAAGTCTTGATGATCCTGGAGTGGTCCTTTATGGCTTTTAGCAAGTTGCTTGGGTGTTTACAGGATTTTAGTGTTCTTTTGATATTTGATATTTATGCCTTGATTAGTAGATCTATTTTCATTTGTATGTTTGTACAATTACACTTCGATTTTTTTGACACAGGAAGGAGGGGCTAAGGGGAAAGTGACAGGGCAATCAAGGTTTGGTGGAGGTTCATTTTTTACGTCGGTGAGTTAAAGATCGATAAGAATGCGAAGCTATCCATTCTCTTTTTCTATCTATCTATTTTCCTGCTCCAAATGAGTGAATAAAACTGTTTATGAGTTTACAATATCCACCGGTGAAAAAAGTTATATTGCAAATGTTAGTTTAAAAAGAATAAGTTCTAGAACCTATAGTAGGGAGCTGCATAGCTAGAAGATAGTAATCTGAATGAAATAGATCCACTCTGTTTTTAAAATACTTCTCCCGGTTGGTTTGGTTTCGTGAACTTTTTGTGGAACATCGAATCATTTGATTCTGTTATACCTTAAAATAGTCTATTGTCTGGCTATTTTTTATAGCAAAATTGTGGTTAACTTAAATTATGTTACAAGTTCTTTCAGTTTTATGTAATTAGATTTCTTGAAAGTTTTGTATGTAACTGGCTATTTTGGAATTTGTACATGCAATATTTTCAACAATTTTCAGAATACTGGGAGTGTTCCTCCTGCCATGAACTCAAGGCTTTCGCCTCTTCCTCCAGAACCTGCTGATTTCTACAATCCTACTGCCTCAGTTGATATTCCTCTTGATAGCGCTGCGGTAATCACATATTTTCATCTGTTTTTCATGTCATGCACTAGTTTGGTTTTTCTAACTACAATAAATTTCATGTAGGATTTAAAAAAGAAAGAGAGAGAGCTGCAGGCTAAGGAAGCTGAATTGAGAAGAAGAGAGCAGGTTGTTTGTTGGTTCAAATTTTTAAGCTTTGAATATGGATTTGCATGCATTACTACAGACACACTAGTTTACCATGTCCCTATTTCTTCTTTTACACATGACTTGCCATTACTTTTCCTTCTATATATGTATTGTGAATTGGTTTATGTATGCGAACTCTTCAATCCACATTGTTATCATGATAGTTACTACAGAACGCTTTGATAAGTGATTCACAAGTAATCTCGGAGCAATATTGGCATATCAAACCATTCTCTTCTCAATGCTTCCCTACCTATAATCTTTCTAAGGAATAAATTTGTTGATTATGTAGATAAATTTTGGTAGGTGTACCCTTTTACTTGAATATTGGTAATTCTCACTTTAATGTTTGTGTATATAAAATGAGAATCCTTTGTACTTTCAAAAAATACATTTGATCACTCAAAAATTCCTCAAAATATATTGGTTTGAATCCAAAGAAAACAACCTTTAGTTGTGCTACAAGCTTTTTTATCCCCTAAACATAGAGCAATACTAGTGCAGGTTCATTCCCTAACCTTTACAGTACGAAGGGGGGAACTTTTGATAGGATATACATTCCAGAGTAACTGTTTTTGTGAATATCTTGACTCATATGTCCTTTCTTATCTGTACCAAGCGATGGCACTAAATGTTGGTCTTCATCTCCCCTTTTGTTCTCACAGTTGTGAAAATTTTAAAGTGGGTATAACATTTTTTTAATGTATCATTCCTGTATAATGACAGTAGTGCAGAAAAACCTTTAGCACATATTAATTGTGTTGTCGGTGATCGCTATGAGCACTCCACTGTAATTATTCCAACTTCATATACAAGGCATTAAAATGCAACTATCAAACCTCAGACAAATCGTTTCCGCTATTAAAGTCTTCTGCATGTTTATGCTTAATGATTTTCATCTGTTTTAAAAGCTTTTACTATATTTAACTTGCATTTTATTTGAGAAGAAGTTATGCAGAGCTTGATGTATTCTTTTCCTGCTAAGGATGCCATGAAAGTGCTTAAGAATGAACTTTAAGTATCGGTGTAAAAAAATTGGAAATAGATTTATATCTTGTAGAACATTAAACATTAGAGTGCGACTGTATTATGTTTTGTTTTCTTATGAATCATCCTTATTGTGACTTTTTTTTTCTCAATGATGCACCACCAGGAAGTAAAGCGGAAAGAAGAGGCTGCTGCACGAGGTGCTTTGTTTGTTCTTATTGGATTTTTATGAACCCTTCCCCCTCCAGACTCCCTCATTCCTTTATCATCAATAAACCAACACGTCTTTTTTTATCACCAATTTGTAGTAAGGCTCTGTTGTCATTATGGTTATCAGACCTCTAAACCTCTTAATATTCTGTAAATTGTGAAGAGCCCTATAATTTCTGAGAATAGTTGAATTTTAAGTATTCAGACTTTCTTCTCTCTTATTTTGCCCCTTATTGGCTATATCTTTCCGAATTCTTCTTTCTTTGCGTTCTTTTTCGCCTTTCCAACTTTTCATTTCTTTTTCATGGCCAAAATATATGTCCATTATTGAGAAAAACCTTGGTGAACAAATGAAATAGATGTCAATTTTCAATTATATATGACTATATGTGACTGCGACTTGCTGATGAAGTTCTTTATTTTGCTTTGCAGCTGGTATTGTTCTTGAAGAGAAAAATTGGCCTCCGTTTTTTCCTATTATCCACCACGATATTGCAAATGAAATACCAATTCATCTACAGAAGATGCAGTATGTTGCGTTTACAACCTTCTTGGGTACGTCAAATGTT